TAGAAACATTGTACAGTTTTATATTCACTATTTAAGTTAGAAATTTGCAATTCAAATTTCAGAATATTTGTAAAGTTACAATTGAAAAGCAACTACAAACTGAACTTTATACCTTTTATACATATATCACAGTTAGAAGAACTATATCATATATTAGTTGAAAATCAGTAAAAAGCTTTTTTCCTTTCATTCCTCTAAAACGTATCATACCAGTTTTGCTAGCAGTTCAAAACTCACTGAAAAGGCTATCGTTCTGGTTCATTGTACATGCATCCAAACATAGTTTGAACAGAAATAGTTTAACAATAAAACTGTGTACGTGAAAATATCAATCCATATCACAGATGGATATGTTATTTATTTAGTTATTTTTATTTCTGCAGCGTTCAATATAGTTCGGTATTATTTTTGCTGCAGTTTTTTATGTTACGCAAAAAACAGCAGTTCATATTTTTCTGTAGAGCGAATTATGATGAAAGTAATCGAATTTATTTGTATATATGTGTGTGTGTGTGTGTGTACACGAATGTTCCAGAAGTAATTTCAGATTATTCTTACAACATTATTTCTTCATATTTTAGATAGATAGCGCATAACAATTATGGAATTACTTATTACTATATATTTAATTACAAATATGCTTAAAAAATAGTAATTAAAATTATCGTAAATGAAATCAATATTTGTAAACGTAATAACAGGACATTGGCTGTATATATAATAAACAATGATTGATTTTCACCCCACAGACAATTATATATATTATATGATATCATTGTAATGATAATATTAAATATAAAATAGTTTCATTTAAATATACATTGAATACAATGTATGGATAACATTTAAATTTTATATTTAAATTTCGGTAAAGATTCGCACGGTCGCGGTGGTTTTATAGACTTTATAGCCTTTTTATACGAAAAGCATCTTTTATCTAGATCTCTTATCCAGTACAATAGAAAATCCTTTCATTCACAAAAGAAAAATGACAAAGCCAACGAGAATTGGGAACGCATTTCTTATATTCTCCTGATGAATTCGCATTATAATATGAAAAGAATTTATTTTCGAGCACATTTTTAAGGAGAAAAAAATGGCCATAGATGGATGGCATAAAAATTGTTAAAACACAAATATTGTGAGCTACGATTTTTGACTTTTCAAGTTAAACATTAACAAGTCATTGTAAATTTACAGTTGTATATATTTAACAGTTTTTCAATGTAATACTATACTATCTGACAATATTATATTTAAGTTTTTAGTATGCAAACTCATATATGTACGTACTTACACTCAGCTATAGAAAACCTATTAGTTTAAACAATTGTTTAATTAATTATCACTGTAAGTATCAGAGACATATTATAGTGTACATTATATATATATATATATATATACTGTATATTTCAACTACATCTAATTGAGATATTAGTTTAAACCGATGTCCGTGCTATATTTTTAATTTTTCCTAAAGAATTTTTATTAATTAAAAAATAATTAAAAGACAAACAAGACCATAAAATCTGTAAATTATATGTGTGTATGTGTCTTTTTGTTTATCTATCTATTCGCGATGAACTCAAAAACCAAATTTACAATAATCAACATTTCCTTTGAGTAATATAGACGCCTTTTTTTATTTTCGAGCGTGCTAAAAGCGGGCAGGTTAGTTATAAATACATAAGATACTTTAAAAGTTACGAAAAATTCGATTAATTAGCTAAAATATATTTAAACATGATAACTTAAAATCAATACATAATTCATTTGTGTAATATAAACTAAAAGCTATAAATCAAACGGAATCTTCATTAAGGTTCTTCATAAATCAAACCCGGAAAATAGAAAGACGATCTAAATTAAATCACAACATGAAGACATTAAAATATTTAAGAATATTATCGGTTTTAAACTAAATCAATTATATATATTAAATTAAATGGAATACTATTAATTTTAAAACGAGTATTGCAGGAGAATAAATTATGTATTACTAGCTAATATTTTTCTTTTATGGTAATTACTGCAATAGAGCAGACGGCCTACCTGATGGAGGTAGTACTATCGCCCATGGACATTCGCAACATTTTTTATATTACGGATATCTCGCCATCCTTGTCTAGGGAAGAGAAGGAGGAAAAAGTGGGAAAGAGAGGTAAAAAGGAGGGGGTACGAAAGGGCAATTTGCAGTTTTGTGTAATAAATAATTGGAAAATATTAAATTAAGTTTAGATTCAAATAAGCTTAGAACTAACCCAATGTAAGGTAATCAGAGATGATAAAAATATAATAAAATTACCATATATGACTTTAAAAAATAGTTTTAAAGGATTCTGAATCTTATTCATATGATTCATTAGATTTGAAAATCATTTACACAATTTTATTGCATATCATGAACCAACTGGCTTTAAAGCATTATCTATGAACGTGTCGCCTTGAATGTATCGACTATTATTATTAGAGTACCTCTTTATTTTACTTATATACTTTATATTTTTTATAATGATAATCACATACATTATGGAAACACTAACTTTTCCCTGAGGTTTTGTCCAGTTGGATCGTGTAATAAGACTCAAAGAGAAATTTATAGTGTGTGTGTCTATGAGACAACATTAATACATACATATTTAATTCTTCACAAACTTATTTAGAATATTAGTATAATCTATAAACCTATAATACCTCTTAATACATTTATAAATTTAAGAGTTATTTTATATCATATAAACAATCATACATATTATAAGAGCTAGAATTATTTCTTATACGGAACTACAAACAATATTTTCAAACACTCTTGATTTTTCCGTGTGTCGGTACAAAGAAACTTTCCAGTTACGCTATCAACATAATGTATTGATTCATTTTTTACTTTCCTACTGAGGGAGTGAAGTAAGTATTGCGTATATATTTTCGAGGAAATTTATATTGTTTATTTTTGTAAACAATTCAAATAGATACAAATCAGAACTTAATTACATTACTAATGAAGATGGTGAGTTTGCGATATGTGGTTCCAATAATTGCCTTAAAACATAATAATAACTCAAAGATACAAGACGACAACGTTCCAAAGGAAAGGATTTTCAGATACTGCTATTTATATTGAATAAGCAACGGAAAAAAAGGAAAACATCGTGAGGAAACCTGGACTTATAGTTTCACAATTATAAGTTTGAAATCACCAACCCGTCTTGAGCAAGCGTGGTGATTAATGCTCAAACCTTCTCCATGTGAGAAGAGGCTATGCTCAGCAGTGGGCGTTCATAGGCTGATGACAAGCAACGCCTTATATACCACAGTTTTTCTAACTTCTTCTCCTTCGTATATTAAATACATACTACACTAAAATCACCAAAAGATTATTTGCAAAATTTCTTTATCGTCAAACTACGAATCATTTGGTGTCTCTCATTCAACAACCTACCTTAATAGTATGTGTTATGATCTATAAATGAAAAACAAGTTCCCATTCGAACTGGCGATTTAGTTACTTGATGGATATGTTAAAAATTCAGTATTATTTGGTATATCCTAAAAGTAAGAAAAGTTCCCAAACGTCAACGGCTTATTTATATGTATACCTAAAATATACATACCAAGAAATATATTAAAATAATTATTCTATTTAGCATTTAACTCAGTCGAAATTAATTCCACAAGTTTATTTGGAATAATAAATGTTATGTACCCTTATAATGTATTATAAAAATATTTTTTATAAAGAAAGAAATTCAGCAGAGCCTCCACAATTTTTATTAGTAGTTTCCAATAATTCCGTACCAGCCTGTATACAGTCAAAAAATGCCACACAGTCTTATTTTTGCTCCACGGAATATAACTTACGATATTGGTTACAACCTTCATACCTGTAATAGTTAAATATTGTTGTTTTTAATTATTGGTTACCTATAATCAATTTAAAAGTGTTTTAAAAAATAATAAAGGTAAGAAAAATTAAATAAATCAATTGTAATTAATAAAAACTATTAAAGGAATGAAATAGAAGTATTTAAGGCGTAGTATTCTCAATGAATCTTGTGTCTAATAACTTAAAACATCACGTAATATATTTGAACGTTTATCTTAACTAATATCTTATAATACATATCTATAAACTTAATATAGACCTGACTCAAATCAAAGAGGATATCTAATTTGTCCTTATCTTACGAACCCAACTACAGGTTGGTTAGTTATATAAATATAAAGACAAAATAGCTTCGACAGAACGTTCTAGAAGGAATTTTTGTTCAATTAAATTTATTTATTATGAAAAATATACTGCATAATTTGATTCAGTCACTCGGCCAAAAAAGTTTCTAGTATATTAACCTCCTTTTAGTTTTAATGCCGTAAAATAAAAATAAATGTCATTTATAATCTGTGATTTTTTGACGTCAGTTTTGTAATCGTTTACAAATTTCGTTATAATAAAATAATTTTCATAACAAATATAGAGGGCGAAGTTAAATCTATTCTGTGAAGTTTGTGTATTGAATTAATGTTTCAATTTAGGACAAAGTTTAATTAATTCGAGATTATAGTTTCAAGATGAGAAGACATCGGATCAAATAAGATCAAAGACATAAAACTTAGGTACCTATTTGACTATTTGTGTACAATTTCGTTTTGAGATAGTATTAATGTACCCCGGGCTCCAATTACTTTGTTGTTCAAACAATTATTTTAGATATAACTAATAATCCATATTAAATTCTGTACTAGTATATATTTAGTCTATTATATGTGTATTATTTATATAAGAAGATCTTCTGTCTTGGCAATTTTTTACGTTTTCTTTAACAGAGAATTTATAGTGGATTTTAAAATAGTAATAATAAAATTTTGGTGATATACAAGAAATTGTGAGATTTAATTGATATTTCATAGATTCTCTTAAATAAATAATTTTTATGCAACATTTCTAATACTTTTCCTATCATTTTATACGGTTTTTAAGGTCCAGTCAGTTTTTTTAAGCAAATATGGCGAGAAATGCTGAAGCCGAAGTGGCAAAAATGAAAATGCTAGAGGAACGTATAAAGGCGCCATCTATCTGGGGTCGTGTGCCCTGCGGCATCAGGTTTGAAGATCTTCAAGACAGGAGCTACGAGGATGCTGTCAGATTATTAAAAAACCATTTCTTGTCAGAAGAGGTAAAATAGAGAATAATGTGTAAAAGTTCTTAATCCTGAACTGCGTTTTGATTGCATAAGGTAGTAAATAACACAAAAAATTTACGAGTGAATTATTACCTTCAAATTATTTTTATGTGTTATGCGTTAAATGCAACTTAAACCTACACGTGGGTCGCAAGTCCCAGACACAGTTGAAGCTCCTCTCACTACAATAATGGACCCGACACACGCACCGTGAATACATTGAATGATGAGAGATTTCGTCTCTTATAAATGATTCTTATTATTTAAAACATTCAGATAAATAAATGATTTAAATTAAGATATTCTTGTGACAGAACTTTAAATTAATACAATTTGTTATAAAAAAAATCTTTGATCTGAAACCGCTGTCAGATAATGTAATTGTTTTAATGAAAAATCTAAAATAATAAAAAAGTATTGACAAGAACTTGTTTCGAACCTGCAACCCACGATGTGTAACGTTCCAGTCGCTTTGCCAACTGACCTATCGTGCGCTAACTCGAGTAGGTAAATTGATCACATATATTTCACCGTCTTATAGGGATCGAGGTATTTATTGGAGTTTCTTATTATAATACTAATCCTACATTATTTTCACTCTAAATCAAATATCAAGTCAACATTACTAGTTTCTTTAATTCAAACATAACAATATACGCAAAATCAAATTCAAAAATCCTATATTAATACAATTTTGATCGAATTAATTAATTAATTACAATGGTATTTTTAATACATTTTGAAAATGAATTTCTAATTTTGTTTCAGTGTAATTCAGAAAGAATTTCATTTAAATAAAACGATCTAATTTAGTGCTGGGGGCATTTGGGAGATCTGTAAAAAAATTAATAATCGCGATAACCGAATACTCCTTTAAATCCTCTCCTAAATCTCTTTCTCCATTAATTAAATTAATTTGAGAGAATATCTCATGGAATAGATTCTAAATTTACCTCGACTGTCTTTTGTGAATTAAAGGGTTTTTCATTGTGAGCAGAATTACGAAAAAATAAAAACATTTTTATTTTTTTTGAAAACGAATTGAAAATTTTATTGAAGTGATATATGTAATAGTTTTATTAATTCATTGAACAAAAATGCAATAACCAGAAAATTTTATGCTAAAATGAATTGCATTACGACTTACGTGTCTGTTTTTTCATCCTAAAATTTGCTATGTTCATGAGAACTAAAAGCTGTTATTCAAGGCTCGTTCCAATCGATTATCTTGTTCCAAACTTTCATTATGAAAGTGTTATAATTCTCTAATAGCCAAACTTTGAACTGGTTCGTGTATAACTGACCTAGTTACATTATTCGTTGCTTCGAATCTTTGTTAAACGTAATAACGCTGTTTTAATTTTTTATCTTCATATTTGCATTTCTAAGAATTGGTTTCATTAAAATTTACGAATTTCATTAAGTAACTTTTAAATACTGTCACTAGATGGCACTTAAATCAAAATTTCATATTGAAATTCAACATTGTAGTCACAAATGTTAAAGAAAACTTTAATAATTTCGTAAACTAAAGAAAGACTTGTTTCTAATACATTTTAGTATGTATTGTGTCAAAGTAGAGCTTAATATTAGAGAGTGTTTTGATCCCCGGATAACTATAAACAAGTTGAAGCTAGTTAACGGACTTAATTATGTCGAGGATAGTTTGAGATTTAACAGTTCTTTGTTATACGTGATAGGAATTTTAATATTTTTATAACTTCTTAAATGAATTTCTCATATCGGGATATTATAATAAAAGAATATATGTATTATGTGTAAAGTATAAATGTGATCAGGGGAGTAGTCGCATCAAAAACTTGTTGACAAAAAGATATCCTAAAAAGAAACATATGAATCCTCGAAACGCGCACTTAATAAGAAATCTACATGACTTAAATGAATATATCATTATGTTTTTAATAAAGAAATGAATAGCAATACTATTCCATTGCTTGTGTGGTATCAAGAATCTTCTAGTTCACACGGCTTCCATACAACGATGTTGCCCCGGCGATGTTCATCTATTTTTAATACCTAGCGCGTACGTAACATATTTGAAAACATTTTTGTTTAATTCATTACAGATAACCTACAGATCCGTGAAGATATCCAATGAGAAAGAGGCTACTGATGAATTTGTCCACAATGTAAGGATTTGGATGAAAGACAAAATGTCTATAGCAGCTGTCAAAGAGGGCACAAATAAACTGGTTGGAGTTCTGATTATGAGGATACAGGAGAAAAGTTAGTATGATTAATATGTATTACAACCATTAGTCTCTGACCTATATAGACTAAAGAATCTCTTCAATACTTTTTAAAATATTGAATTTTGTATGTATTTTGATTATAGTACATAAGATAATTGATTTTACGTGTTTGTTTCATAAAATTTGGAATGTATGTCTCTATGTATATTCGTTAAATCTTTTAATTTATTTTCTTCTACATTCAAGGTTAATAAAAAAAAGTATTTTTAAAAACTGTTTTATACAATACATACTATATTTCATTCAGTTTATTGATACATAATAATACTATCTTAAATTTTATAATATCATCGTTTCGGGGTATCAATAGAACGCCGGCCTATACGTATACAATATACAAGGGTTCCCAAATTCGATTTCCGGCTGAGCAAACTTGTTTATTTGCATACCTATGTATATTTATCCAGATATAATCGATTGGGGAATAGATATAATTATAACGGTCTTTTTTGTATCTTCACAAGTTTGAACCAATTATTACTTGAATTAAACACGTTGCAAAACCTTTATATATCTTACGATAAATTCTATTGCTCCTAAATTATTACAACATGGGTATTTATTTACCTCTCAAAGTTTTTCATAATATCACAATATACTTTTGGTTTTTTATATGATATAAAATCTTTCTTTTCTTATTTATTGTTTGCTTTGGAATTTTAAATGTTTGGTTTCATTGGGAAGAATTTTATAAATACAAATCCCTGTCCTAAAGAGTACTCTCATTTCTCTCATATATTTACGATCGCATAAGTTTCAAACAATACTATTTTCGTATCAATCGAATCGATTCATATAAAACTCGATTTTCCTGTATCGTCGATCGTAACCTTAAGGGTGGATTTGTTCAGTGCTTTGAGCCTAAATTCTTACTGCATCTGTAAAAGAAATTCAAATTCAGCTATAGATATTACACGGTCCAAGTTATGAGCGTTTTAATAAAAATTAAATATAGATTAATTATTTCAAATTCAATAGTACGATAAATAAGTCATTGTTTGACATTTAGTGATAGTATACACATTGAAGAATCTTTACAAATTGATGATTTATGTGTATGAGTGTATGTGAAATTCGTGGCAGTATGTGTAATGTTTATTTTAGTCATTTTTTTATATTTCTTATAAATTTTATTTGAAACAATACTTCAAAAAACACTTCATTTTATTTGAAAAAAAACTCTTCAATCTACTCGACCAATAATCTTTTAAGTGTAAAAAATCTTCAAATCACCTAAAATTATTACTACTATTTTTGATATTTATAAAATATTTGTAATATTTTCAATGTCAAAGAAAGAACATATATAAAACGTAACATTTTTGAGACATTAGTACAGAATAAATAGAATAAAAGAAATAAAAACAATTATTATAATGTCCTTATATGTAAAGCTTTACAATAACAAAAAGTCTTTAAACTTGGACCACACTGTGCCTACGTAAATGTGATTCAAAGTAGGGTGGATCTCTGTTAGGCAAAGTTGTTGATACATCAAGACGAATAAATGGAAGGTAGCTTTTAATTTAAGGTATCATTGTTCCAGAGGTCTTGCTCTGTATTCGTTTAAATCTTTCTGTTTATATAGACATATTTAAATGAAACTAATATTTTTCGGATATACTACATACCCGTTTTATTTTTCTAAGAAACTACATACTCCCGACGTTTCGGCTACTTTACAGCAACCGTGAATACGGGCAGACAAGAAGAGACGAGACATAGGCGTAGTATATCTTAAAAATATTAGTTTCACTTAAATGAATGAAACTCGCGAAAATCGTAGATATAAATAATATATATACATAGTTTATTACAAAATCATCACAATGTATTCATACATTTCAGGCGCATTCTCCCGTACATTCAGTCACGTAAAAATAACACACAACCCTCTATACACGCAAGTGGTAACGTTTTATAGGGAAATTGAGAAAGGTGCTAATTTGTTTGAGAAGCTTGATGTCAAACGCTACCTTAAGATATACGTGCTGGCTTTGAAGGCTAGGTATCGGCATCGAGGTAAGTCGTACTGAAATAATATTATCGTTATCATCATCGTCATCATGATTATCATCATCATTATGATTACCATCATCATCATCATCATCATCATCATCATCATCATCACCATCATCATCATGATTATGATAATCATGATGATAATGATCATGACCATGATTATCATCATCATCATGATGATAATGATCATGATCATGATTATCATTATCATGATAATGATTATCATCATCACGATAATGATTGTCATCGTCATCATGATCGTCATGATAATGATTGTCATCGTCATCATGATCGTCATGATCATTATCATCATCATCATGATGATAATGATCATGATCATGATTATCATTATCATGATAATGATTATCATCATCACGATAATGATTGTCATCGTCATCATTATCGTCATGATCATTATTATCATCAGGATCGTCATGATCATCAATATCTTCGATTCTTACTCCTTCAATTAGTCTACGCAACATTGCCATAGTCCACAATGCCAAAAACTTTTAATAGTTTTTATATCCTCATACGTTGTATTTTATAAAATTACTTATTTCTGACTTTTTCCTTACATCAATCAGGTATAGCAAAGGAAATGTTAAAGGCTGCGATGGCGTTAAGTGAGAGTGCCAACGTGCCAGCTATATCTGGCATCTTCACGACGGGTAGAGGCCAACAGATAGCCGAGGAACTTGGCTTTGAGAAGTTCAACGAATTATATTACATAAGATACATTATAAATGATGAGGTGAGAATTAAAAATAACTAGTAATTATAAGTGGAACATTTCTTTGTGTGAATGTAAAGATGTTTGTAACTCATTCATTCAAAAACTGTTGAGTTGATTTTAATGAAACATTATAATAATGTAGGTTATATATCAGAACAATATATGGGCTATGATTTGTTTCCGAATCTTCAAATAATCAGTATTATCTTAATTTGTAAAATCATAATTAATTAATTCAAGTAATAAAAAATGTAGCAGTTTCAGTGTTTTGAATGTTATTTTACAGAAATATATTCATAAAAAACGTATTAGACTAGTATTTACTTGTCGTTTTTGTCATAATACAATACGGTTATTGAAAATTAATAATTAATTTCTTATACGTATGTAAAATTAGAAAAATGGTACTTAAACATTAAATTTTTGTGTTTATCTACTTTAATTATACTGGTAAACTTTTTAGAACTTATCATCATCATATTAATAGTCATATACATATTATATGTATTATTGGTACATGAATACATAAAAAAATTAAAAAAAACAATACATATCTGTTCAATTTGAACAATTACTAAATTTATATTTTGGATCTTTTTGAACAATCTTTAAGCTTCTAGTTTTTTTTTTAAATTGAACACTCGTAACTTTCAAAAATTCCAAAAATAGAAAGTAGTTTATTTGCGATAAATAGATACTTTAAACGTAAAGATTGATTAAACAATATATTTTAATGGTTTTTTATTTACATAAAATGTTTCACTAAATAGATTTGATCATACAATATTATAAGTTGCATAAACACTGACTATTTACGAAACAGAGTCCCGTTTAAAAGGTTTAAAAAGTGTTGATTTGCCAATTTTAAACGTCAATGATTTTGTTCATAGAAAAATAGATTTCGGTGTTTTGTTTGAATAATCTTTAAAATAAATAATCAATATTAAAAATAACAAAGTCTTAGTCTATTCCTTTCTTATGTATTCAGATAGTTTTCTGGGACACCGGTCTGGGTAATTATGGTGCCGCTCTGATGGCGTATAGGATACCTACAGTAATTGAGCCCCAAGAACTTCAAGTTCAGGCGTCATCACGGTTCAACATACCACAGCCAGATGATGATGAAGAAGATTGATGATTGAAGCATATTATGAAAGATCATGATATAAAAGTATTGTTTAATATTATTATAGAAATCATATAATTGATATTATAAATAAAATATTTATTTCTATGGATTTTCAAGTATTAATTAAATTTTATTCATATATAATGTAATTATTATAAAAAGCTTGCCATTTCGTATACAATAAAAATATTTTCAGTTATATTTATGTACTGTTTATATTATTATAGTATAATATTGTTATAATATTAAATATTAAATATAAAGAAATATTATTTTTGTTTTTAATATCAACAAATTTATTTAAAATAGTCTGAACGTCGATTCCATGAAATTTAATGAAACTGTTTTGTCATACAAAAACAAGTATCGCGTCAAAAGAGTTTAATATTTTTTCAAAGAAATTAAACCGATTACAACCAACACTGAAAATGACAAATAATCTGTTCATACATTATAAAGTTTTGACAATAACTGAGAAGTAATTTTATAAAGAGCTTCATAGAAAAATGTAAATAATAAAGCATTCAATATATTGTTATTAAGTACGGACAGACGGTGAAGGAAAACATCGTGAAGAAACCTGGACTTAAAATATCACAATTATAAGTTTCAAATCACCAACCCGTCTTGAGCAAGCGTGGTTATTAATGCTCAAACCTTCTCCATGTGAGAAAGAGAGCTCTCAGCAGTGGGCTCTGATAGGCTGATGATGATATGGAGTACTCAAAAGTCACTCTCATGCTCGAAACTTAGAAAAAGGTCATGGCAATAGGTTTGCTACGACTGACAGTGAAGAAAATCACAGAAGATATCTTTTTCGCTTAAAATAAAAGAATATTCATCTAATATAGGGCTATATCAATATATAAGTATTAAGTACATAATATTGAAGTCATTTGTATACACATAAGTCACACATGACTGCTATAAATGATGATTTGTTATCAAATCATTGCTAATCAATTATTCGGATCCAATTAATCACGGAAGCTGCTCGTTCGTCACTCGGAATGGGTGTCCATCAATCTTATGACATTTGGTCATTTGACTTCAGAAAGCATTTTGCTTACATTCCCGCAGTAACTAGAATTAGTTTACTTCTGAATTCCATTGTATAAGAAAGAATTGAGCCTAAGAAAATAACATTTTAATATAATACTAGTTTTTGCCTACAACTTCGTCCATCTAAACTTCGAAAAGACCCATATGAATGCGTCTTTGTTGAACCATGTTTTATAGTTACTTGTCTCTTTGACGTTTTATGTCAAGTGTATTACGTCACATAACAATTAAACGGGATGAAAAGAATTTTATGACAGTCTCCTGGTTCTAAATTCAACCACTAATTTCCTCCAAATCGGTACAGCTCTTCTTGTGATATACCCAAAGAGAGGCACTAACAGGAATATCTTTCAAATATATGTATATAATGTAACTAACCATAGAATATTCAAAAATAGTTTTCCCTATTTTTAAATATGAAAACCGCTTTTTAAAACATAAATTTTATTAGAATTGTGTTTTGGTGGTACCTTGGAATATCTACAAACTAGTTTCTTCACCCAGAACCGCTCGCATCGAAATGTATTGGACCAATAGCTTGATTGGGTCATGACGTACATACTGAAAAATCGGTTTATTTTTTGAACATTTCTCAAAGGAAATACACTTCTACATTAACAAAACGACATTTCCAACAATCTTTAAGATTTTTTTACATAATATTTTGCAAAAGACAAAAAAAACATAATTTTTGAATATAAAGAAGTAAACTTAACTGTATAATCAGACAAAATAAGAAAAATATGTACATTAATTCATTCGCTGTAAATCATTGCTCGAGTAACGGCTCTTCAGTGAGTCATTTCCAAAAACATTATCCTTCATAACATTATATGTTTATAAGGATTATCAATAATTCCGACAGCGTGTACGGAATCAATTAAGAACTTATTAGAATTCAATAAAATAATCCGATTAAATTCATAATCGAATGCAAAAGCAATTAAAGCTTAATTCCATCAAGTCAAATCTCGATAATTAGTGCTGAGCTAGGATTTATGGTCCGTATGATGTCAGATTGTCTCTGTGGTCTAGGATTCTATGACATATCGCCTAATATACCAGAGACAAATAAGGGATTATTTTAGTATTAGCTTTTGATTTAATATGAAATATATGTTATACTATTAGCATAATCATTTAAGATTAATTTGAGAAAGATATATATATTTAGAGAGAGAGAGAAGGAGAGAAATAGAAATATAGCGCGTTAAAAAATATAAGCAGTTCCGTAGTTTTTTTAGATTAGATAAACTAACATCAATTTATTCTTGAAACGTACTTCGCCTAGTCCTAGTAGGTTCGTATCAAATTAGGTAGAGAGAGGAGCTTGGACGGTGGAGGTGTGCGTTTAATACTCGTTAGATAGGGACCCCTTCAACCTACACCTGGGTCGCAAGTCCCAGGCACTGTTGAAGCTCCTCTCCCTACAACGATGGACCCGACACACGCACCGTGAATACATTGAATGCTGAGAAGTTTCGTCTCATAAATCTTCTATATATATAAAAATGGATTGCTGTTCCTTAGTCTCGCTAAAACTCGAGAAGAGCTGAACGGATTTATCTTATCTTAGTCTTGAAATGTTTGTGGAGGTTCAGGGAAAGTATAAAAGCTGAAAAAAATTGATTCATTACTGGGAAAACCATAAAAACAACCCTTTTCTATTTCCCATACAAAAGTTTTTTTTTGACATTAGATTTGACAACTAACTAATATTTCAATCATTCTGTCGCACTTCAAAACACGGAGATTTATGGCTTACAGGTAAACTCCAAAAATATAAATAAAAAAACGTAATAGATATTTCTTGATTATAGGGCGATACGAAGTTCGCCAGGTCTTCTAGTACTGTATAATTTGGACAATAATATAAAAACCTTTCAAAGAAAACTTTATCTTAATACAATTATAATTCTATCAAAACAGAATGCGTATTATGAATGGAAATACAGGTTTAAGGCAAATGATTAATAGATTAGAGATATTTACATTAAATGTACTAAAAAAATCTACCTTAATTTAATGCTCTTTGTTACATAAGTCACGTTGTTTTTCGTCCATGACTAGAATAAATATTTGATAACTTAAAATGTATGTAATGATTTATGGTCGGCGCGTCATTCGAATTTATAAGCTAATGACAGATGTCATTAGTGTATCTCGATGTTTTAATATTAAATTATATAAATTAAATATTAAAAAGCATAAAACATGACTTTGAATTCAAATGTATTAAATATAAATTATTTTTAGTATAAATCTAAATTAATTTTATCATTTTATTTAGGAATACTTTGACATATAAAAGGCGGGATTATTGACAAATGACAGTCTTCCAGACGATATTTAGGATACAAAGAGGTTCATAAAGAAATAAAAATATAGAAACGAATAATAACACGCAATTGTTTTAGAAACATTTAATAAATGAGTTTAATATTTTTCGGATTACTACGCGTATTTTATTATTTAAAAATACTACACACTCTCGACGTTTCGCTTAAAAGTAGCCGAAATATAATATAAAAATATACGAGTAGTAATCCGAATAATATTAGTTTCATTTAAATGAATACTCGCCAAAGTCTTAGATCTCATTATGTCAGTCAATAGTAATAATAATATAGAATACCAGAATATAAGGTTTTACAAACGGATTTGCTTAAATTAAATGGAGTAAAATTGAATTTAGGTTGATGAATAAATAAAGCAACATTAGACCTTCTATTTTTGACTATTGGTTCAGAAAACAGATTTCTATAAATTCCTTCTCGTATAATGCTCTTATTTTTTGTACAACTACATATTATTTGTGGTTCACTCGTACAGAATTCTTTTAACGTCCAATTTAAGTTTCGTTCTTTATGGGTCATGAACAATAAATAAATATATTAATTACATACATATTTTTGTAAATAGTTTAGAAATCCGTATATATCTTCTATATTTCCGGGAAAACCCTAAAAACAGCCCTTTTCTATTTCCCATACAAACGTTTTCTTTGACATTAGATTTGACAACTAACTAATATGTCAATCATTCTGTTCGATTGAAACAGGAGAAACCTGATTATTAATGGCCTCTAAAACGGAATAGAGTTCGCCCGGTTAGCTATACATATATTACTAATGACGAAACTAACGCGGACGAAGTCGCGGGCAAAAACTAGTAAATTTATAACAAGATAACATTTAAATATAAAGTCGATACAAAATGTCAAAGACGACTTAAGAACTTTTTTAAGAGTATTAAAGTCCCGTTTTTTTTATATTTTTAAAGAAAAATGTAATGATTTAAGTAATTAACCTTCCATGCCATTATTATGTTAATTGTCTTTAGTATGTAATCAAATTTGAAACTGATTTTAACCTTTTCATCAATCAAACGCTAAAACTGTAGGTAATAATTAAGTTTCAAGCTCTTTCTAAGACATTTGATACATCTAACAATGTATGTACTAGCTATTAGGTATTATATGTAGTAATTCTAATTAAAAAGGTAATAGAAAAAATGAAATACATTGTTGAAGTATAGCAAAACCAATTAAAGTTTAATATAGAAAAGTATTTATTGACTTCATATTTCAAATTAAACTTAGTTTATTTTTCAAGAAACGCAAAAAATAAACACAATAAAAAATGTTTATGTAGAGTAAACTATTAATTAATTGAAGTTAAAAAAACTTAAGATGGCGGAGTAAAAGAAAGACTTATTTAAAAATCCTGCTTCTAAGAAAGTTAATGTACGAATTTTATATATTTCATGAATCTTTGTCTTACAAATGATTCATTTGAAACTCTCCACTGGGTATCGTTTCATATATATTATTTATATTCACATACTATATTATACTTTGAATTTCAGCTTAAAAGAATGCCGTTAAAATGGGAAAAAGCCAAAACGCCTCTCGCATCCATAAACTTTATAAATGCAGCTTATTT